AAAAAAATTGGAGTGTGTTTTTCATTGGAATTTCAAATTATCTCATCTAAACTAATACTCTCTATCTTTATAAAACAAACTCAAAAATTTTGGCGAGTCTTTTACGTATACGTAAACTTAAAAATTTATCATTGCATACACTTTTTGTAATTTTTGCGCGGCAATCAGTTTTCGGTTCAAGTCATGACAATTCGGTAAGGTACATCACTATTATTATGTTAAAGAATTCCCAACTTGCTAATAATTTCCGATGTTTTTTAGTAATGTAACACTGCAAAAGTTAAACCTAGTGAGAGATATACTTTATTAAACAATATGAGACAATACTTTATGATTTACTTTCAAAATGATTCGTTCAAAATATAAGCTACGAAAAAAATTTGAAGGTAAAGTGTTAATTTAATTTTGAGCTTAGGAAATAAGTAAATTTAAGATGATAGAAAAAATCCAGCCAAGTAGTTAAAAGGTCAAAATAGGACCGAAGAAAGAAAACCACAAATATTTCGAATACAAACAGTCCGTCATTTTTCCAAAGATTGGAACAACAATAATTATCGTATATCAGGGCAAAGCGTATATCATTATCGTATATCAATTCTCGAATACCACGATATTTTGCCTCGATTTTTGTCCTCATTTTTGAATAATTTGGCAGTTTTTGAGCAATTTTTGAGAAGTTTTGAGCAAGGCAGGACAAGAAAAATCACCCGGGATAATAACGAACTACCAGTTTGCCACAGGTCAAAACATTTTGTTATCTTTTGATTGTCATTGATATACTCTTTACAGTACGCAAAAAAACCAGAGCATTGTCAATTTCAATTCTCAAAAACGCTACCAAAACAATTGACAGTAAATCATCTTTTAAAGAGTCGATGAATGTAGTTCAGAACATATAGGTCGTTCTTATTTTTTGTTTCAAATTTTTTTGCGGGAAAAGAACTAAATTTCGTTCAAACTCAAGTTTACTTTTTCGCATTTTGATTTTTTATTTCTTTCTTTTTAGTTTGATTAATTTCTTTTGTTAAAAGGAAGACAAATTCTTGCATTGACCAGCAAAATCGTAAGAAGCAAAAAAAAACGTGATCGACTGGTCTTTCAAAATTAGAATTTAATTTTCAGATTTCCCAGCAAGATAAAAAAAATTTCCTTTTTGATTCAGTTTTCTCTAATTGTGTTAATTTCATCATTATTTCAACATGTCACTCATAACTTGTTCTACAATCATTTTAGAACTTCAAAAAACTTAAAGGGTTGATTTTCACAAAAAATCTAAAATTAAAAAATATCATTGTACTTTATTAATTTGAATTTTTTCACCTTATCACTGCTCCATTAAGGTAGTCGGAACATTCGAGGCTTCGCCCTAATACGAGCAGTCTTATTTCTTTTTGTTTTCCACGCAGAATTAAACACCACAAATAATCATCGGAATGAGTCGAGTGATGCTATCATTGTAAAACCCTTTCAGTTGTGATTCAAACGGCGTAAAAAAAATCAAACAAATTTTCCAGTGTCGAGAAAAACCGGTTTGTCATTTTTGCTTTTTTCGACTAATTTGGAGCGAGTAAACGAGAATGCTTATGGATGCTGAATTTAGGCATTTTACAATAGTTTTGTACGCTTAAGTCTAGTTTTACTCTAGTAGAGTTTTTTTGGAATTTATTAACGCCATTTTGAGAATCAAAAACTTCAAAAACTCAAAAAAAAAAACAAAAACAAAATGATTTTTTTTGTCATTTTTCTTCACTGCTGTCCATTTCGCTATGAAAAAATCCATTTTTGGTTTTACTATGATTGTCAGATATGCCTAAGTTGTAGTTGTTTTGTTCAGATCCATTTATCATACCACGCAGAAAAAACGACACTACATTGAAAGAAAAAGTTGTTTAAGACTATGATCGGATCATTGTGTGGGTTTTATCACTTATTCCGTCCAAATATCAAAATTTCTTACGTGAAGTGAAAATTTCTAGCAATCAAATTGATTGGCTAAAACTAGTCAATCAAATTTCAGAAGCATTACAAAATGTTTTCTTGGCAATTTTAAATCGATTTATAATTATGTTGAATTTGTCGAAAATATTAATTGTTTGGAAAACTATTCACGTTTGTTTCAAATGGATTACAATTCAGTAAAACTTTGAGAAAAATTTTTCAAAAAGTAATTGATTATAATCGATTATAATGTTTTTATTTGTTTGGAAAAAAAGCAACATTATAATCCAATTTTAATCGATTCTTTTTATGGAGATTGACAATTTATGGAGACTGACAAAAAAATCCAATATAATCTATTATCTCTTTTTACTGAGTGCTGGCTGCTGAGTTTTACCCAAACCATAAAACAAACAGAAAATTGCTACATGAAAAAGATGCCATTTTAAACATCGGGTCTTTTTACTTATTTCTCGCAAAAATCAAAAATTTCAAGATCTTGAACAGAAACCATTTTGCTTCAATCTGGTTGGCTAGAATTAGCCAATCAGATTTCATTACCATCTCAAAGTGATTTGGCAATTTGAAGGCGAATTATAAATAAGTCCAATAGGCCTATAATGAAGAATGTTTGGTAATTTTCTCAAAAATAATCCAAATGCGCTCGAAAGTTTTACACATTTTCGGCACTGTTGAACACTTTTTAATTTTCGGCAATGTTGTACTTCGGCACTGTTGAACGGGTCTAGGACAACAAGCCGACGGGACTTCAAGCCGAAGGGACTTCAGGCCGAAATTTAAACTTTACAAGCACCTCAAACTACAATTTTTTCATCTGTAAAACGTTGCTTTTCAAAATTTCAGACAAGTTTAGTCCATAATAAGCGTTATTCATGACAATGCATCACTTAGGATTGGCATTCGTTAATAATTTCAGACCGTTTTTGAAATGCATAAATTATAAACAAGAAAATTGCCTTCAAACCGTGTTTTATATTTCAACTTTCCTAAACATCATTTGGAGGCCTAAATTTTATGAAAAAACTAATAATTATTGAAAAAAGATCATAAAAGTAGGAAATTCTTTAAAAAGGTTTTCAAATTAATCCTACTTCATCACTTAATGAGAAAATTTTCGGCTTGAAGTCCCTAATTTTACGATTCGGCTTGAAGTCACGTCGGCTTGATGTCCGGCACCCCTGTTGAACGCCCCTCTAAGGGCAGCACAACAAGGCCGAAAATAAATTTGTTTAACAATCTCGAAAATAATCAATTTTCGGCACTGTTGAACACTTTCTCTTTTTCGGCAATGTTGTACTTCGGCACTGTTGAACGCCCTCAACTAAATCAACCAGATCTATTAGTATGTTGTTCTCAGCATTTAGACATTGAATATTAAAAAATCGCAAAGTAAGAAATTTGGGCTGAATAAGTAAAAATACCCTTAACATCTGCTCAAATATCGGCCTTGTTAGAAATCGGCTAAAATGAAAATGGTTGCATTTTTAATTTCATTGCATCTCTGAATTTATAAATTCAATACGACGAAATTGGAAATTTAAGAAAATTGGGCGGAATATAAAAAGACCTCATTGTACTACTTGCGCAGTAACCGTCAGGGCTTTTCAAAAATTAATTGAGATCAAAACAATTAAATTGCAGTTAATTGGATGTTCAGCAATTAATTATCAAATAACTGAAAAAAACAAAAGTTAAACTGCAATTAATTGCAATTATCAATGAAAAATTCAGATGTCGCTATCGAGACTGTCCACGGTTGACTCGTTCCAGAATCTGTGATTGACTTTGAGTAAAAGTTGCATTTCGAGATTTATTGGTAGTAGACTTTTGCGAAGATCGTTGTAGGCGTATCCAGCTACGCTAAAAAAACGTTCTATGAGATCTGAAGTTGGAAGAAGAAATGTCGGATCCATGTATTCACTTCGTGAATTTTTCTTCTCTAACTTGCGAATTTTCAGAAGACCCGACGCAAAGTCGTCTTCGTCGACATTCACCGCATGTGTCACTTCGACAACTGGCAGTTTCAGAGACTCAACAGCGGCCTTTTCTTCGATTGTTAAATCAGCTTCTTTGTGTTTCAACAATTTAATAATTGCTTTCTGGAAAACTGGCACATGAACTAAATCGCCATCTTCAGACAAGTATTTCGCAAATTCTTCTTCTTTGTACTCATCCAAAATTCCATCAAAAAGAATGCGTGCAGATGTAATTCGTTGCTCAACAACCAACGCTTAACAAACGAACTTGCTTCTGTTCAACAACAATTAATTGCAATTAATTGCAGTTAACTGGGCATGAGAAAATTTTAATTGAAATAATTGCATGCCCAACAATTAGTTAAAAATTCAATTAATTGCAATTAATTTAAAATTCAATTAATTTTTGAAAAGCCCTGGTAACCGTCTATCCCTGTTTGTTTTTTGATCCATATAGTATTTTGCTGTTGGTAAATCGAGCCCACTTTTTGGGTGAATTGAATTAACCTGTGGACTTTGAACGGATCTACACAACAACTAAAACAATCGTGGAAATATTGGAGCAGATTTGACCATTAAAATAGTTCCTATGTAAAAAGAAAACATGATTCTGAACACACTTCAAATAGTTTTTCAGCTAACCAAGCGTTGTAAAACGTTTTTATGCTGTCAAATTTATTCTCTTCTGAACAAACTTCTAAATAGGGGCGGACCATTGAGTAGAATGGTCCAAGAGCAGAACGCTTATGACGGTAACCAACAGACTGAGAATTATTGAGAAAATCGAGAACTGTCGCTGCGTTTTGCATAGACTGGTCGTATATCGCACACATTTATCAGCGCGGTTGTATTTTACAACTTTTTCTTATTTTAGACCTTTCTTCTCTGAGACCAAGGGTCACCCGTCTAAATGTAGTGTGGTAAAAGACACACCGCCTGTACGCCGATATCTTATTGGCCGACGAGTCGCGGTAACAGTTGCGTCACAACACAGGACGGCCAATGGCTTTTTATCCCTTTCACGTGCCTATTTTATGAATGATTTTACTTGTGATTTGTATTCAGTTGCGTTATAGTCACACGCTAACCACCACCGCAAATATATGAGCATTTTCAGGCCATACGCGCGCGCCTGAAGAAGCTACACCAATAAAATTCGCACTGCTTATATTATACACGAGAAAAGGCAAAACTGCATGTAAAACAGAGTTAGCCAATTAGATTTGAGCGAACGGCATAAAATATACAATTATAAACAGTTGCTTGTAGAAAAACGGAACTACGTGCAAGTTACACGAGACGAGAGAACAAGTGAGTGAATAACGTAAGCAAAAAGCGTTTTATTCTCTATTTTGCCGTAATAGAAAGCAGAAAAGACGGTTTAGTCTTTCTTAAGCGCATATTCCTATTTCATTTCATTACGTAAGTATGCTTTAAATTTCCTTTTTTTTAACAAACAACGGTTTCTTCATTATTTTCACCCCTGTCTGAACTTAATTATTACCTCCAATAAGGAAATGCGCAAATTTTTTGCGAAATCGGACAAAAAATCTAGATGTAAGTAGACATTTCACGCGTTTAAGTTTGAATATTCAATGCCATTAGGGTTAAGCTATTTGTCTTGCAAGCATGATTGCGTGTATGAAAGCATTCCTTGAAAGCATTCAGGGTTGCGTATTTGTAGATGTTAATCCTATTTGAAACCCCCGACTTTGTTTCAGAACATCCGAACTAAATTAAACCTGCCAAAAACCCGCAACTGTACCGAACTGAACTTTCTTCGGAGATTTGGAGATACAAATTCGCAATATTTCACTGCCCGCCAAACTCGCTATCTCAAGATCGAAATACTTCTCCAAATAACGGTAGGGTACTCTTCAAATACCTCTGCCACTCTGAAAGTTCTTCTCTTCTGGGGCGGATCCTTTAATCTTCAGAAATTCTGCGCTAAATTTAACATTTGCGCTAAATTTAAGATTCCATTCCATCAAACATAGAAACAAGCTTGTAGACGAGTTTCTTGGTTTAATTTAAGTCGATGGTAATTCGGTATCTTCTCTTGTGCTGAGAGAAAGAAGCAGGCATCAACTATCTTCTTAACTTGTGTATAACTTTTCAAAGTTCATTTTGTGTTCATTCACAGTTGCTTCTTTTGACCGATTAAAATTACCAGCTTGGTAAATAATTCTGTGACTCTAACCAAATAGCGGAATCAAACACAGCTTTTCTTTAATTAGAACCAGTCGCTGTAACCTTCAGAGCGAAGAGAGAAGTTAGAAAATGAGTGACCAAACTAAGGACTCCGAGAAACCACAGTCCAAGGACACTTCGTCCGGCATGGCGACTGGGGCTGCGAACAACGAGACGAATGAAAACGAGCGACTGACGGACAATACGAAAGGCGAACAGGAGTTGCAGGCAGAGCACGAACACGACAAAACAATGGCGTCGGAAGCCGCCAAACCCGAAGATGGGGTGAGTGTCATCTCGCAGTTCTTCTAGAATCCCCCTTAAGGCAATCGAGGGAATGACATTTTGTTAAAAACTTAATGCGATAGAGGGGATGATCTTTTGTTGCGAGTTGTCGCTGAATTTTTCACCATTTTTCTCTTTTCTCCAATTTTCGCGAGTTTTCTGCGCTTAAATTTCATTTAAAGGATGCCAAATGCCTTTTTAATTGTCGTTAATTTGCAATTTATGCCATTTAATAGCTTGATTCAACGCTCTGTTAATCAGCCCTGCATTTTTAAGTAAATTTTTCTTTTAAAAAAGTTCTTTTATCATTGGGGGGGGGGGGGGGGGTAGGGGTTATAACCGAAAAGACCGGAACCTACTGTGCTTTTTCTGGCGACACGAAAGATGGATGGGGGATCTTACAAAAGAAACAAGGACTCCCGTTTGAGATAAAAGCCAGTTTTTTTCTTACCGCATAGATAATATCCTTGAATTCGGAACAAACAAATTTTGAACAAAAATAACAAAGCTGTTAACAGATGAAAGAGATGAACATTGTAATTAATTGATGAAAGTGAAAAAGGTACCGAGATAATAGCTGTACCCGGGAGTACAGGGAAGTTTTCAGTCTATGCGGCAACGTAAACCGTATTAGCGCCTTGAAACTAATAAACAGTTTTTTTGGGGTTGTTTAGAAAATGACGATGTGGCTGGTGTTAGCCGTTATGGCCACCGTCCTTGGATCCCCCACCCAGTTCGGCTACAACATGGGGGTGATCAATGCCCCGGAAGCGACCATTAGGGACTTCTACAAATCAGTCTACATGCAAGGGAAGGGGGAGAAGCTTACAGAGGCAGACATGAACTTCATCTGGAGTTGTACTGTGTCTGTGTATGCTGTGGGGGGGATGATAGGCTCCGCTTCTGCGGGGTTCTTTGCCAATTTACTCGGAAGGTCAGTCAGTGCCACGCCAAATCAAATCATATTTAAAACCTAAATCGAAAGGATGGCAAAGCAATCAGAGACGTCTGAAAGAGATATATATCTGGTCTTCACTTGTGAATTTGTTGAACATTTTTTGAGCAAAGCATTTAAACTTAAGTGTGATATGAAGTTTTAGTCAACGCATTAGGATCGAATAACTATTTGTGAATTGTCGAACATCTATACCGCTCATTTCGGTACCAAAAATGGAAAGTTATTTTTTTTTTGGTTGAGTCGTGACTTGGATGGAATGACATTTTTGATAAAAACAAATATACCGTTTAAATATATTGGATTTTGGGAGAGTTTATTCCAACTTTGTATTGATTTAAATTGAATGAAGAAACTAGAAAGAAAGATTAAAAAATCTTTAAAATGTCTCGAAATTTACTCGAAAAAAATGATTTAGTCCTTAGAAGCTAATTATTTCCCAAACAACTATTGATATCAAATATGAGACTTCTGAGATCTTTTATTTGCGTTTGTAAAATCAAAGATAAAATATATTTTTTTGTCTTTGGGACATAGAAACAACTTCAGAGTCGATAAAAAAGGGCAGATAATCAGCAGCCAGAGGCTTAAAGAAAAAAGGAAATAAGACCGAAAGAAATCAGACTTGTTATATCTCGCTAAAGCTATAAGAAAAGCAAAAAGTTTAAAAAAACGACAAACTTGTCAAAGAAACACGAATCGTTTGCAAGTGACATCAGAATTAGGATTTCCTATTTTTTAATAAATGATTATATTGCAGTTATTCTAGATGTAGTTTGTATCCTTGATAGCCCATTGTTCTCAGAATTGGTTTTGCATTATATTTCATATACAGATGGCTATAGCCGTTTTTTTTTCGTTTGCGAAGTGCAAGGTTGACTGTGTCATGTTTTTTATCATGCGGCTTATTCTGCGCTTTTTGCTTAATTATAGTTGTAGAAGTTAGCGACGATTTTTTCTGAATTTTGAGAAAAATTTCTGAATGTTGTTTTCATAATCCAAACTAAGTGAAAATGCTTCAAAATGATTTATCAGTTGACATGGTTCTCGCGAAAAAATACCAACTGTACGCTTCAGTTCCTTCCAACTCTTTCAGTGTTCGGAACAACAAGAGAAAGAGGTTCCTGTGCAAGTAGCTCCTAAAAAATCTGAGAACAGTATTCGTTGAAAAAATTGAAACAATGAAAAACGAACTACTTACAACATCTACAAGTCATATATACTTTCAATTTCAAATTAAATTCGACCAGTCAAAAACAATATTTAAGTTTTATGATCTTGAGTTATTTCCGTTTTTGTTCATTTATTACTGGAATCCTCCTACAAGAAGCTGCTACAATCGATCCTTGTCTATCGACCCTTGTTATCAACGACGCTCACGTCGCGGCATCACGACAAAAGAATCTTCATTTGCAATTTGTTCTGCACTGAAAACCTTGGTTAGCAGCGCCACGAATGACGCTTATCCGTATGCAACAACCGAAATACGACAACCAAAGTTTTGGATAAAATTGTACACTTGTATTAAAACATTGGCCATCAATTTATTTGTTATCTAAACATTTTCGGTTACTTTTACAAAACACTGGACCTTCTAAAGAGTGGGTTTTACTCGAGAAAGTATCATTTCCAGGGTTTTTTTTAATCGAACTTGGATTATTTGAAATGTATCGATGCAGGTGAATCATGAACCACTCTGAAAACGATTTCTGTAAGAAAGAACATCTGAATTCAAACTTTATACGGAATCAGTTGTTGCAATAAAGATCTAGCACTTTTCACTGCTCCATAAGTTTTTCAAGGTAATAGTTTTTTTTCATACTTAAATTCAACTCTATTCATACTTATATTCAACTTGAGTTTTTTTTCAGCTCAGTGCAAGATAAAGTTTTCAGCTTGAACAGACTTCTTGCTAAAGTTGTTTTGGTTCTTTTAAAATTTGACTTGGAGTTCAAATAGATTGTTTCGGTCTAATTGGCAATAAAAATAGATGCTAAGAAAGTGGTTATTATTATGATATTTGCTTTAAATAAATTATTTGAGCTTCTTATGAAAAAGGTGTGTTGAATGAAAGCTGTATTCAACTTCAACATCACGCTGAGCAATTGTTAAAAAAACTCAATTGAACTCTTAGACTTGAGAGCATTGATAAAATTTCTTAGATAGATTAACAGAACTAAGTCTTACTATCATGCAGATGATGTTGATCAAAACTTGTGTTCAATAAGCTAGTCGCACGAGCCTTTATATAGTTGTAACAAGATCTAAAGCATAAAAGACACATGTGCAATATATCAACCAAGTTGGCACAAGAGTTGAGGGGTCTATTGAAAATTCATTTGAGCGTATTTTACTGCAAACTATTCATTTTCTAAAGTTATGAAATATCAATTCTATTTAAAAAGATGCTGTCCGCTGATATGGAATGTATTCAAGGGATATCTTAGCGAACTGTCGACCATAAACTGGTCCGAAGCACAAGAGGTTGAATGAATCCTAGGGCTTCATAAGCTTCTTATGAATCTTGATGGATGTTTTATGTAAGGTTTTTATGATACTTGATGGCTGTGTTATGTAGCTAGTGTTCTTATGAGTCCCAATGTCTTTGATAGATAAGTAAGGGTTCACGTGAATCTGCATCCAATGAATGTTTGTATTCAGAAAGAGGACACTTCTGTGCAATAACTTCATCGGAGCCCTGGGAGGCACCATCATGTTCTTCGCCAGATATGCGGGCCAAGACTCTTACCCGGCCCTGGTATCCAGTATGATCATCGGCAGAATTGTAGTCGGAATTAACGCTGGTTAGTCCAAGTCATTTTTTCTCCATCTAGTGATGTTTTTCAAATGATTTTATGTTTTTTTTTGGCTATTGCTTACATAAGAGTTTATTTCGATCCAGGTTAATTTACATTCCTGATATTAATATTAAATAAATCGATAAATAGACGATATATTTTTACTATATTTTTATACTTTTTTGCAGGGTAACTAACTGTACTGCTAATCGTTCAAAACTCAAATTTCATGAATGAGCTCGCTTTTTAACTCTTGTGCTTAGCACTATTTTAAGTAAAAAAAAACTATTTTTACTAATGAAAAATAAAAATAAAATTTTAACGTTGAAAATGTACGTATGTTATTTTATTAATATTCTTGAACTCGCTCAGTGAAAGAATTTTGAAGTTTTTTCTTCGTTAGAAAAATTTGGAAGTGCAAACTTAAAAAATTGTTGAAAATGTAAGATTGTTATTTTGAGTTTTTTTGTGAACTCGCTAATTAAAAAATGTTGAAATTGTTTTGCTTTTCGTTAGAAAATTTTTTTAAGTGCTAAGTAAAAAATGTTGAAAATGTTTGGTACAAAATTTTTGGTATTTTTGTTGCAGGAGTGAACACGATAGTAGCGCCAATGTACGTGTCAGAGATTGCACCCGTGAACTTGAGGGGCAGTCTGGGAGTGCTGTTCCAGTTCGGAGTGGTGCTCGCCCTCTTCTTCGCCCAGATTCTCGGACTTCCACAGCTACTAGGTACGTCCGGTCTATTACAATAAATACCAGTCATCATTTTAAAACAACCCACAACATAGTTGCTCCAAGCAACAAAAATATTAGCTTTTTTCTTATCAAATAGCTTAATAATCCTAACTCTTTTTTAATAGTGGTTACAAATCTAAATTGAAGTTTGCACGTGTTTTTTAATTGAAAGTTGAATGGATCTACTTAACAATTGCCCACCCCCCCCCCCCCCCCCCCCCTCTTTTAAGAAAGGGGGCAATTGTTAAGTAGATTAAAATAACGCATTTTTGACCAATCAGAATGCAGCAAAATTCTAATTCTCAATAGAAAGCTCAGTGCTAATTTACTGCTTTTATTAATAGGGGTGGCAATTCTTAAGTAGATACCAAAGGGGGGGGCAATTGTTAAGTTGATCCAGTTGAATAATAATAATCTGTAGTTTTTTAATTATTTGCAACACTTAGTTTGTATCTTGAGGTTATTGTGAATAAAGGGTTGTTTTTTGTGTTCTACCAATTTTTATGGTGGGAAAGTTTTCATGGGGTGCTCAACGTATGTTTTAAAAACATCAGACCACGTGAACAAATTCGAGAAAGGTCAAGATTTAATGGGTCAAGGCAAATATTAGGGGTGTTTTTGAATGAGAGTAGTCTTTACAACGTGTCTTGTGTATGACTTGATGCTCTACGTGTGGGCTGAATATTTACAAGCTTGTTTGTTTTCCAAGTCAGGGATTAAGATTGAAGTTCTTATGACAACTACGAGAAATCGCTTCCAAATAAGGATTTGTCAATCAAAAAGTCAGTTCGCATATTCTATTCATAGAGTCAAAGGTGTTTCGAGAACCGAAATGTACAGTTTTGAGTTTGAACTTTGGAGACCGAGCCAAAAACTAAACCTGTCCTTAATGCAGCCACTGCGTAAGGAGTACAAATCCGGGAGGTTTAAGATAGTGATTTATCCATTACTGTTTACCATTATTGCATAAATGAAGAAGACATTATTTAAGAAGATTTCTTCAGTGGTCACGAGCAGCTTTCGATTGCGCGCTTGACTCTTTCGTAAGCGTTCGTCCGAGCGCTTCAGCCGATATGAAAATATTAGCTTTCAAGGTTGATTTGGCTATTTGAGTTGCTGAACTAACAAGATAGTTTTTCAAAGTCAAGGACACTCCAAGACGCCGGTTGATAAACTCTTCTGATTCTGAATGACAGTAAATCTTTTGTTTGGCATGTTAGTTTGGGCTTCTCGCTGTCGCTAAGGTGTTTGATTTTTGTTCGCTGAATTATTTGGCAAGTCTGTGATGAACCTCTATCAATTGAGCTTTGTTTAACTTCTGTGAAGCAAAATCCTATAAATGACGTTTCGGTAAAGCTGAAAACACTTTTTTGATAGATCGATGTCAGAAAAGTTACTTGGGTTATTGATGTCTGAATAAGTCAGTACTCAGCGCTACTTCTTCGTAGACCCCACCTTCCTAGAATATTGACCCCTCCAATCTTTGGAGGGGGGGTTCTGAATGGACCCCACTGTGTTTTGTACCATGAAATTTAGCCAAAATTTAAAAATCTGCCATGGGAAAAATGGTTTTTGGATTTAATAACTGATTTTGTATGCCAATTTTTAAGTTCAAGAACAATTTAGGCATGATTCAACTTTATATTTATCAGAAATGATCCAAATTTGTTATATTGGTTTCATGCTGTGAACTGTAGACGTCGATTTCATTGAATTCGATTATTGTTCCAACCAAGATTTGCATACTCCAAATTTGGCGTTAGTTCTGGTTTTCTCTGCAAATTGAAGAGGAAAATATTCCAGCTTTTCTGACGTCACAACTGCATTGAGTTTCTGATTACGTCAGTTTAGTTAATCTGATTGGAAGTCAGTAAGGAATCATAGGGTCGGTCTTGTGACACTTTCGTGTTGTTTTGGAACCTGTATTTTAATGAACTGAACTGTCGATTTTGATGGAATAAGATTTGTAACAATTTATTAGGACCGAGAAAAAGGGTTTGCGCCCCTAATCAACTAAATGGACTTTTTCTGCCATTTAATGAAAAAGAAATAAAGTTTGCCTCAGAGATCATTGACTGAAAAACATTTGAAATCTTGAATGGTTTGAAATTTTGAAATCTAGTGAATATTTTTCCTCTGGAAATAGTTTTTTTAATTAGTAAACATGAAATTTGGCACTGAGAGCATGAAGAAGAATTCAGAAAAAGTTAAAAGTTCTTAAGAACCCTAAGTTTAGTAGAACTCCCAGCTCTCTCCAATGGAACCTAGTAGAAAATTAACACCAACAAGACTGCTCGTATCAGGGCGAAGCCCTGAAAGTTCCGACTGCCGTTTAAGGTCTATGGAGCATTAATAAGATGAAAAATTCAAATCAAATAAATCAAATCAAAATTAAAAAAAAATTTGACATCCTCCTTAATATGACGTGTTATATCCCCCCACACGTCATATTAAGTACAAAGCGATAGATTTTGCGCCTATTAACAAATCAGTTATGGCATATAAGCTTCCTTGAACTAATTTGGAACGATTTCTAAGACGGATTAAATCTCGCTTACGCGTTAATAGCGCGAAATTTATCGCGCGTTAATTGTCCCAAATTGGCCAAAAAGGCAATTTTTAAACCCCCATAGCTTTACGAAAAATTATCACAGGTGAATTATTTTTTCAAATTCAAGCTCAAGACAATAGCTTTCGAATGATATTTAAAAAATTGCGTCAAAAACGGCTAGTTAGAAAGTCGAAATTTGTCTGAAGAAAAAAAACCCACCCCGAGCACAAATATTCCGTTACTTTCGTATCGAAAGTCGGAACAATAAAGAATTATTTTTACCGTAATCAGATACGAGTATTTTACCTTCTAATGGATTCCCCCTTAGCAATACAAATGTGGTAGTTAACAATACTTTAGCAATACAAATGTGGTCGTTGTGCTGGAAACCATTTAATTAATATTTACACAAGCAAAGCTTGTGTGATAGTATGAACTGCCTTTTTTCCAAGCTAAGTTGAAAATATTAGAGTTCATTTTGCAACTGTTTTTTTTTTTTTCAGTATGTCCAGATCAATCACCAGCTATTAAGTACAGCCAATGCTAAGGATATTAACACAGACTATTATATTACAAATAGTACTTCAGATTCAAATTACCATGTATCTGTAGCGTAGAGTTGGGGAAGGAGGCCCGCAACAAAATAACAAAAAAAGAAGGGTTCGAACCTGGGCAGGGTTGGATTTTTTTAATGAACCTTTTTGTATACTAGTTAAAATGCGTCCGCTCTATAAATTGAGGCATGTTAGTTGGTAAATTTTTTTTTCAAATTGACTGCCAATGCGCCATAATTGGCTTGCGTCATTTAGCAATTATGTAGATTCATGATCGGCTTGCGTCACTTAAGAAATTATGTAGACTCAAAGTTTTACTCATTAAGTTTTACCCAGTAGCGTTATCGGTCATATTTTTGCTTGTGTATTCGAAGTGCAACTTCGCCGCTGTGTAGTATGATTATTATAATACTTATATGACTTTCCGACCATTTGAAAAATGGGCTCTTTTTCCTTTCCCCCACCTGCAAATTTTATATCACTGTTTGATTGTTTTGAAAATTGACATGCGGACTAATTAGGTTATGACAAACATATTTGGTTTTCATAATGAACCTTGTAAAACCACTCGTTACAACATGAAATTCATGTTCGTGTGTGGTGGGAGGAAAAGGAAGAAGAGCCGAAAACGGTAGATGAACTTTGTATTTTGTTGTGTTTTGTCTTTTTTGTTTTCGACACAAAATCAGTTACCACAAATGATCATCGGACTATTTTCTTCAGTATCGAGGAAAACTGGCTGACGTTTTTGATTTTAATATCAGTTTTGAGCAGATAAAGCGAGCAAGCAGGCTTACAGCAGCTTAATTATGCTGAATTTAAGCCCTGAAAACTTAGTTTTTTGCAAATTGTTTTGAACCAAAATGCGCCATTTTGGGAACCAAAAAGCGCCATTTTGGGAACCAAAAAGTTCTACATCTGCAACTACAACTTCTACATCTGCAACTCAGCTACACTCAATATTAGCGCCATTTTGGGAACCAGAAATTTCAAAAAAAAATTCGAACATTTTCTGCAAAAAAATTGTGAACTTTTTTTAACTTTTTTTAATTTTTTGTTTTTAGTCATTTCTACAGAAATTTTTGCCTTTATGTCTATGACTGTCGATTATGCCTAAATTATAGATTTACGTCAGATTCCTTTATAACACCATGCAGAAAAAAAACAACAATAATTTGAAAAAATCTTGTTTTTTAAGGCTAGGGTCGGAAAATTCTGTGCTACTTGCACAGTCACCGGCTATCCTTTTTAATTATTGTTATTATTACAATATTTGAGTTGTGGTTCAAATGATTCAACTATTATACTGAGTTTGTGCATTTGTAGGAAATGAGGAATACTGGAACTACTTGTTGGGGCTGACAGTGGTACCAGCCACATTCCAGATCATAGTACTCTCCGTCTGTCCGGAGAGTCCCAGATACGAATTGGTCAACAAGGGCAACAGAGAAAGCGCCATGTCTGGTAAGCACACACATCCATACATATATCCTTTAATTATGAACACCTTAGAACCCCTTGCAATAAGATAAGTTACTGTAGGTACTGGATAAGGTACTGGAACAGGTACTAGAACCCTGAACACCTCCAGGGGGAACATCCTTCAAGTTGATAACAGTACAATACAGCATTTATCTTAACCAGATGAGCAAATAGAATTGGGTGGGTGAAATTTTGACGAAACTATACCGTAAGCTCTTGACTGGTGATTTCTGACAGGGGTTTTTGTTTTCAAAAATTGGTGCTCTTTTGTTGTGCTCTTTGTTGTTTATCACCAGACACTGAAAAAAATTTTCAATTTCAAAACAATGATTAAAAAGATCAAAGCGATTATATGATAAGCTTCCAATTTTACCAGCACAATTTTTATTTGATTTTTTTTTTCCAGTTGCATTAGTGGGAGCAACGTCACCGGTATTTGCTCCAGTAATGAAATGAATTGAAAAACACTTTCAATGCTCTATGATTGGAGTACAGACGGCCATAGAAAACAAAGCAGAGATTTTCTGAGAGCGACTTATTTAATCCCAATGGCGCCAGGGTTCCAAGACCGCCTTAAGTAGACAGAAAAGCCAGAAACGGTTGAATCAGGGAGATTAAAGGTTTAGCGAGTGTCACACTCCAATTCGCGGAATTTTATTATTCCGTTTTCATGAATAAAAATTCGTATTGAAAAAAAAGATTTTTCTTACTGTATGCCTAATATGGCCAAGGGATGTTTTCTAAAGGACTTGAGATTCGCTCTATTGAAGGCAACATATTGAACTTGAACTTCAAAGCAATAGATGAGTTCAGTGTTCCGATATCATCCCTTTTGGTCATTGTTATCTTTTTTCTACTCCAAAAAAACTGCTTCAAAGTATTTTCTGGTGCTTTGCTAAAATTTAAGCAAAAGACTGAGATTTGCATCATAGGTTGTTTCTTTTGATCGGAAAACATACTCGAAATAGCAGAAAAAAATACTGTTGGCACTAAAGCATAATCGATACTTTATGACAATCTATGCTTAAAAAGCTCATTTACCTTTTAAATGAATAAAAAAGCGAATATAAATGTCTTTGGGATTTAAAAGGCTTGCTTTTATGAATCGATTAGTGCTCAAAAGGCTTCATTTATACGTGTCTTTTTGACTTGATTTTTTTCCCAAACAGAAAAAATGAGAAAAGAGCGGTATAATCGAATCTTGAATCGAACGAATCTATTTTGTAATGCCCTGTCACATTAATTTCCCATCTATTGTTTCTACTTAAGAAAAGGACAGGAAACAAGAATGGTTTTTCAGTAGACGGTTTTATTAACCTGAGGTGAAAATTCTAGTGCTCAACTTTATATATGGCTTAATGCATTTGTTAATACCTTGGTTATGTATGAACGTAATACGACGCAGAAAGGTTGGGACTAGACCATTGTGAGTGATGCACATGGGAATTAGAAATAATATATCTCCAAGCTTCTTAAGGCAGCAATTTGCATAACTAGTGGTATGTGACCAAATGGTGCTATTCTAAACAGCCACCAGCCATGTGAAATTGAATTTATTACCTTGTCGGGATCTAATTTTCTATACCGACGTCTGTTCCCGTTAAAATCTAATCAACTAAATTCGCCCGCTCAGAAAAAACACTGCAATATAATGCCAAATTGCATCCGCTGAAATTGGGGGTAAAACATTTGGACTGTTGTGAGAAGCTGAAATTGAAATCCGTTTACCTAATTGAACTGGTCATTAAATAGAAAGCTATTTGAAATATGGTATCAAAGCTTCAAAAGCAAAGCGAGTCTGGCGATTCAGCGCCGAGATGATTCCTTGCGTCATTTTATGGATTCTTTTTTGCTCTGATGTCAAACCTGAAAGTGAATGATGTTTAATGAATCTTTTTAATGCGATCGAATTTGCGTCATGTGGTCAAGTCAAATTTATTAAACAAAAGACACCATTTGTTTTAGCGCCATTAAAAAGATTTTTAAAGAGATTCAATGGCTCTCAATTTTCACCGTCACTGATTTGTCATCTTTGGTTTCAATTAGTGAAAAGTGACATCAGACTTATGATAGTTTGCCCGAGATATTATTCTTTTTCTTTTAACATTCTATCCTTTAAAGAGTTCACACTTGTTTTGAAAATCATGTTTTGTGCGACACTAAAATACCAATGCGAGTTTTTGTGGCTATGAGAGTCTTTCGAGACGATAAACTGCGCATTAAATGAACTCGAAGAATTTTTAAGCAGAAGTTGAAACCTTTTTTGTAAAGCTAACAAGAAAATCCACCTGGAATTTTCTGAGTTCTAACTAAGTATGAACATAGCTTGATTTCTTTTTTTTTAATTAAGACAATTTATCCACGAAGAAAAGGACCAACATACGAGCAGTACAGCTCATCACGGCGAACCGCTGTTGTGCCCCTGCTTAAGAACTACATGTATTTTTTTTGGTTATTTTTCTTTAAGTATTTTACCAACGTTTCGGGATGTTTCAGGACTGAGGAAGCTGCGAGCGAAGGAGGACGTGTCGAAGGATATCAAGTTCCTGGAGGATGAGCACAAGTTGGAGTCGGCGGAAAAGAAGCTGGGTCGGATGGAATTATTGACCGACTTCACGCTCAGAGAACCCTTGGTCATTGCCCTCACGCTACAGGTACGCATTTGGGAATTATTGGTTATAACTAGTGTTATCACTAATTTTTATAACCTATGTTTCAATCTACAAATTAATTGCACGAGGTATAATGGTGTTGAAACGAAGAAAATTATGAAGATACGAGAAAACATGATACATAAAATCGGATAATAAATTCATGGGATGAGAAAACGATTTCGCACTTGTGAAATTTGAGCAATTGATTGACTGGTTTGTTTTTCAGGTTGCCCAGCAATTGTCAGGTATCAACGCTGTGAACTTCTATTCGACGACAATCTTCAGGCAGGCAGAGTTGTCAGAGCAGAGTTCCAGAATTGCCACTGTGGGAACCGGAGCATCCCAACTGCTCATGATCATGCCAACGGTATGTACGTTCGAGGAGCCACCATGTTTTTGCAATGTTCATGCTTAGATATGCCACTAGTTAGCGATATTATCAACTTAGTCACTTTCAATCTCGCATTGTGGTCTACTAGTTGTTCCAAATTACAATTTTTGAAGACTCGATGAACGTAGATCAGACTCTTGTATAGGTCGCGATTTTTTTTTCAAGAAAAGTGTAAAACTTGTTCAGGCTCAAATTTACAAAATTAATTTACCTATTGATCCAGTTTTCTCAAATTGGATTAAGTTTATCGAAAAAGTGTCAATTGTAAGTTATTCTTGAAATTCATAGATCTAAAGGCCATCTACTTTTTTCTTCGAATTTTGATTTTTTCCCAAAGAACGGCAGTATTTTCCGTTTGCTTGTGTTCATTGACTCTTTTCCAAATGTCTGTTGGGTATGTTTGTTAAAAATCAACTGATGCATTTCAAAATTATCATTTCAAATAGCATTTCCAATGGTAGTTTCTAGATATCAATTAATGAGCTGTGGAAGAATTATTTAGTATAGTTAAAATATCAATTACTAAAAACATCAATCAATGAAGATAGTCAGCCATTTGAGAGATAAAAGCTAGAACTCTCTTTAGACAGTAGGAAACTCAATTTTTACAAACCCAATCGAGTAAAATTGTTTCCCTCTCAGATTTTCCTGATGGACCGAGTGGGAAGACGAACCCTGATGTTGTTCGGAACAGGGGGCATGTGTGTCTGTTCCGGACTCGTAGTCCTCTTCACTCTCCTGTCCAAGACTGGAAACAGCATCTTCATGTGGTCCAACTTGGCAGCCGTGTTCGGTATCATGGGCTCATTCTCAGTCGCGCCTGGACCGGTGCCCTGGCTCATCACGGCCGAATTGTTCACCACTGGACCCAGAGCGGCCGCTATGAGTCTGGCAGGAGCCACTAATTGGATCATGACGTTCCTGGTCGGATTGGCCTTCGAGAGTGTCTTGGTAGGTTTTAGCGTTAATACAATTTTGCCAAACTGAAGAACGCGATCAGTACTGTTGCAATCACTGCCTGATTCATTTCCTGTTGCAGTGTTTTACGTTTCTAAATTTTATAAATAAATAGACCAGTTGATCCTATTTTCTGTGTACTTGGTCTATCCAAGATGTTGAAATATGACAGTGGACATTATGTCTGGAACTCAAGATCTCCCGATACATCCGCTGTTTTGGCTTCATTTTCGGTTCTGCAACTCCCCCGTTTTGAATAGCACTTGACATGCAAACGTGCTTTTCATTACAATTCTAATTGGAATTGAATAGTACGTTTCGTTGTTTGAACTTGGCGATGTAAGATTACTTGGCATTTAGTTACATAGTATATTTTTGGTTGTTTGCCAATTTTGGTGCTATACCGAGTAAAACTAGGTTTCAAAGTGAAAGTTAAGCGAAGTGTTTGTTGTGTTAAGCATGTGTTGGGAGACTACACGTTCTTGGTGTTCATGGGTCTGGACTACATCTTCTGGCTGTTCATCTTCATGAAGGTGCCAGAGACCAAGGGAAGAACCGTCCAGGACATCGTACAGAAGTTCCGAGAGAAGGCCTTCAAAGCTAACCCGAGAAAGGTCAGAATTCGGGTTGTTATTACTGCTGTGTTCAATATTTGAAGGTTTCATAGCATTTTAAACAAAATAATCGTGTTTTGAAATCACAGTATTTAGTGATACATTTCTTATGTGTAAAAAGTCTTTACTATTTGATCACCAGAAGCGTTTTGAATCATCAACGTTGACGTCGATGTTTTACAAGGATGTTTCTGACGTGTAAAGTCTAAGAAATTGCGAAATTTTGTATCCAACCTCAAAAATTTGCAAGCTTTCAGAGAACTGTGAAGATAAAGAGAAAGTTCAATGTCTAACATTTCTATACTTATCGAATTCTCAAATATTTGCTTGAAAAACTCGCCAAAAATACCGCACAAAATTTTGGTTACTCCAATCCCGAAGACTCAATTGAACTGAAATAGTATTTATTTGGATTGGAATGTTTAGGCGGCTCAATACGAGCAAGACAAACAAGCCAGAGCTGTGACAGTGGGAGACCAGGCCATCAAGAGTACAGACGCATAAGGCGAATAGCAGAATACATAGAGTACAAAATAATCATCATGTTACACTTCATCAGAACTAGAAATGGGAGGGGACCGAAACTGGAATTAAAGCAAAACAGTCGATACACTTATGGAGAAAAGATTACAAAAAAAACTAACTTCTGTGAAGGTTGAAACGCTAAAACTGCCGTCGTCATGTATTAACATTGCCGATATCTCCTCCATTCACTTAAAATCATGACATCAATTTTGGTGTAAATTTGTATCAACTGATGTTATAGACCTTATGTCGTAGGAATCTTTTGAAAGGGTTCTAAATGTTGTTGCCTATGTATGTTTCTGCATTTGTAATGCAATTGAAAATGTAAAATTATTCCTCCCCTCCCCCTAACCTTCTCAGATTCTGAAGAAGTTCACTAGTAAATAGTAGACACTCTTTAGTTTAATATTTAGTTTGTTCTATTGTTTTACGCGCCAGAAGTTCATTTTTGGTCTTCTCTTAAGGTGCTTTTCAGTTCTGATCTGTCGTTAATATTGCGTCTCAATTTTACTTTCAATCTTTCTAACCTTCACTTAAATCGTAGTTGCCACTTTCGCATTACTTTGTATTTTGTCGTTGCTCTCATTTCAAGATAAATTTGAAGAAGTGGTATTTGCGGCCTAGGCTGGGATTCGAACCGCCGCCATCTTTCACCTGTACTGACATGTTAAATGAACTTAACAGGGCTGAATTACCTCGAAAAGATGTCAGCTAACACTACATATTTAGAAGGTAATTCAGACTACAGAGTAGTTAAATCGTTTTACCATGCGTTGTGACCCTTTTTGGTGCTAAAGCCGAACTGAATGGTTTGAACTGAAATGCTGAGCATTTGAACCTCATCAGTATCAAAATGTTACTTACGTTGATAATGTTGGTGTGTTGGTTTCGCTATTATACATCGCTTGTGTTCAGTGGTTGCATATTTATATTTACTTTTGTTTTAACATCATTGAAGCTCAACTATAACCAATCAATAGTAATAAGAATGTATGAACAATTTGAAATTGAAGATTTCATTTGGTAAATTTTGATACACCTTGAAAACCTCATAATGGGGATAGACTGCAAAGGTGGATAAAGGCACGTTTTTTAGACAAGATTTTTTAAATTTATTTAAAAGCATTACCGTTTAAAGAAAGGAAAAATACTGCGTATAAATGAGAGCTCTAAAAGGCGATGTGGTTTTGACAGGTACTCTTAATTGCAAATCTACGCATAAACAGCACTAGAGGTTAATTGTGCGCATTTCGCATTCCCCTTTGGAAAATTTCTGAAAAGCGCCTATCCTTAATACTGAAGATTTGCATATACTCTCCACCCAAGGCAAGCACCCGACAGTAAATAATTAATTGCACTCGAAGGAGGTTCACTTGCATGAAGCTCCAACAAAAAATTTGTTTCTGCCAAACTTAAGAGGTTAAAGCAATTGTAGAATAACAAAATTGTAAAACTCATATCGTGTAACAAAAAAACTTTCAAAACTCTATATAGATAAGAATTTCCGGTTCAAACTAAAGTTAACGAGAAGTTTCTACAAGAGTTTTATAGAGCCCTTCAATGGAGAAAAAGTTTTTGAGACTTAGGAGACGTCTCGTTTCGTTGCTCTTAATTCCGTCCAACGTCTGAGTTCATCTAAGGTGATTGATTGACCTAAGAGGTCCATAGCTTAGATGACTGAAGTCGTTCCCTACCTTCCGGTGGTGTCATAAGGTGGATGTTTGTTGGGAGTGTGTGTCGGGTCATTAAAAATTTAATTCCACTTCATTCCATTCAAGGTTTCCATTAGTTGAGTTTTCAGAATCAGTGGAATTGAACTGAAAATGTTCGCTTCCTGGTTCATAAACATCAGCCCCAATCACATTGTAAACATCAACTTCCTAGGCAAGCGGTACGTCAATTGCATTGAATTCATCTTCATATCCATTTTCTGCAGTGGTGACTTCAAATTAGAACAAACTCTAACTGGGAACATATACATAGATCCATGTAAGTTAACTGATGTCCATCAAGCGCTTCAAAAATTTGTTGCTCAACGCAATCATGCCTCAGTCACCGATATGATGAACGGGATCCATGGGTACAATTTATCGTAGATCTGAGAAGCGCAAATCCAAGACGACAAAGAGTCCGTAAAGTCATACTTTTTGCCTTCTAGAACTCCTTTACTTGATTCGGGTGAGGGAATCGCTTTTAATATTTTCTCCTTTAAGCTCTTTATAGTGCGGTTTGTCCTTTTTCCATCTTGAACTTTTCTATAAATAGGGGTTTTACCGTTGGGATACTCGCTTTACCCCTACGGCTTTCCGCTTCTCTGCGCGTAAAAAAAACCTTAACTGGGGAACCTGACCTATTGGGTACATATTTGGTATCGTTCGCGATATCGTCTGATGAAGAAGAGTCTTTGCCTAAGTGTCCATCCTCTATGTCACCCTGAGCGTCCCACTCATGCCGTCTGTCCCCGCTCATCAATTTTCTTTTTTATTTATAAATAATAAAGTTTTATTCCAATCTAGGTGGAAGTTTCACAAGGTTAGGCCGGATAGTGTTTGGTGATCTACCGAAGTGGGCTTCAAAGGTAGAGCAATTTAGAGATTGTTGAATTACAGTTTTTGAGCATTTTATGATTTTCAACAATGCTACTTCTAGAGAAGGTTTGAGTTTATAATGTGACATAACCATGAGTAGTTTTGTGATTGTTCTAATTAATCTTTTGACTTGTAGCTCTAAGATTGCGCATCGGGCTAAAAACTATGTTCGTGTTTTGTTCTTGGCAAAATTCACGTTTTTATTCTGAAATGAACCCCAACGCTTGGTCCGTTTTATTAGTTCTAGGTGTCTATGTAGCGCTAAGTAGTTCCTAAGAAAACTTTGAAGATGTACTGGATGTTAATTGAGCTGAAGTAAATTTAAAAAATCATTTTACACAGAAGTTTGTGTTCCCCAAGATATAAGTAACGCGGCGGCAAAATTTTATTTCATTTCTTAATTTGGTTCTACGAACGATGGGAGCTTTCCGAGGTACCTTTTTTTGTTAGTGGCTTTACGTTTTAACCTGCTTATACGCACTTGATTCAATTCTCTCCATGAACTTGAATTTCACGATAGGTTTTTTGCTACCAGACATAGAGTGTCGTCAAGCGCTTCATAGCGAATTAACCAGGTTGGGCATCATGAAGTCTATGGAGCATCATAGTCCTCAAGCATGCCGGAATAACAAGTCTTCTGTCGAAATAAAGGCGTCCCCCACTGACATGTAAAATAATAGTAAGGTTTATAGTAATTTCCCATCTTCAATATATCCTGCTTTCGGTCTTCATCTATATTTTAAAAATTTTCTCTGGTACAGATCTTGATTTTTAAGTAGAGCCATGAATTTCGAGTCAAAGATTTCGGCCATGAAAATGGGAAGATTTTGTGCTTTTCAGCTTTCGGACTTTTATGATCAATGCTCGTTTCATCTTTAGTAACGCCAGTCGAGCAACTTGTACTGGTTACAGTAGGAAAGGATTAAATAACAGTGGATTTTTTTGTTGATTAGAATAAGTCTTTTCGATTGAATCTATATGATCTGACTTTTTTTGAAGTTTTAAAATAGTTTAAAAAATCATTTGTATGACTGGAGAGCAGTCTTCTGCACGCGAGTGAAAATTTTGGCACTCTGAAATTTCTGCAGCTTTTTCAATTCGTTTTTCACGTTCAAGATATTGAAATGTCGACTTATTATTCAATTGATCAATCACGTTGCAGTGTTTTGAATCATGTGACTCTGTTTGCTGAGTGAATTTGTCTCTGGTTTCAGAACGAGAAGATTTAGGCATCAAATTTTTGGAGCCAAAAAAAACTAATATGGTTTACTGAGTCGGCCACGATTTTTTTGTCGCCATATAAAACGGGCGTCTAGATAGGTGTCTAGATAAGTAATCTACGAATCCCATTCCTTTACCCGGGAGATGTTCGACGGTAAAATCGTGAGGTAGATCTTTATCTGCCCAACGGGTAAGACGAAATTGGGCCGTCATCATGAACTTATCATCTTTTAGTGCCCCGATTAAGGCTTTGTGGTCCGTAACAAGGGAAAGTTGTTGCCAAAAGAAACTGTTTTTAAAATGATCCAGTGCCCGAACAAAACCCAAAAGTTCGAGTTCTTTGGTGCTGTTTTTTAATTCAGCTATTTTAGGAAGTCTAGTTCAAATGCTACTGTTTTCCAAATTCTCTCATTGTCTCGATCGAGGGATGCGCCCAAGCATAAATAAAATGCTTCGCATTTCACTCTTGCTCTAAGCTTGACGTCAAAACGCTGATTTTTTAATGTGTTGGAATTTTCTTTCTTTTTTTTCTCGAACGCCGAGAGGTGCACATCCGACCAGTTACACTGTGTTTTTTTTGCGTTTGTTCTTTTAACGGTTTGCTTAGGGTTGCTAAGTTTGGGATACGTTTACTGAAATAGTTAATCGAGCTCAAAAGAGATCTTATATCATTGGTTCATTTTGGTTCTTTTTATCTCCGGGTTGCCTCGAATTTAGGAATCTAAGAGGTGGTTCATTTTGCATTGATCTTGAATCCCAAGCACTCTATGTTATGGGCTGAATTTTATGACCAGTCCGTCGTCATCTAGACTTTTTATAACATATGATAGCATTTTACAATTATGTTTAGCGCGAGCAACTGTAGCGATTAAAATGTCTAATTAACAAGGTGTATTCGGAAATTTTTCGGTCGAACGGTCCATTTAAGCTGACATTCATTCGGCAGGCGGCCTAGGCCAAAAATCCCGTTTTCAATCGATATGAGCCCGTCACTTCTCCTCCCACTATATTAAAATTACATTGATTGCTCGCTTTTCATGACAAACACATCTGGCTATATGCGCACTTCAAATCAATAGAAGATTTTGTTTTCGTCATGGCCAGTAATTGTTAGGACTATTTTGTGAATTAATTCCAACAAATTAGGCATTAGATACCTGTTACGGAATGTTTGTTTGTGAAGTAGTTTTGAATTTAATGCTAATTTATTTGAGTGGTCTCATTTTGCTATTGTGACGATAGGCGTTAAAAAGCAATCTTCGGAACATCTAGAAAGTTTTTCTATGTGACCGTCGGTAAGTAACTTCTTGTTGCAGAGTTTTTGTAGATGTTTAGATGGTAAAGGTATAGGTATAAGCTTGCTTTTTACTTGTACCGGTCTTAGATGGGCGTCGGATTTGATATTGATCTAGCTTACCTCTTTCGCGACGTGATTTTCCTTGGGAAGTGTCCGTGCATGAAGTTGTGTGAGTTGCGTCTGCTTTTGGGATACTTTTATTCCCCGGTTTGATGGAATATTGTTACCGAGCAGATTTCTTTCGGTCGCTCCAGTGACAAATAATGATTGATTTTTTTTGCGTCCCTTCGTTTTGATTGTATCCTTACCACGACTTTTCCAATAATTTTTATCGTGCTACCAGATCTTTAATAGTTCTTTTTCGTAACTTCTTTTTTTGCTTCGCTTCTCAGAAAATATTCCATATTTGGAGTAAGTCTTTTTTCATGAAGAATACCGGGCTGGCTAAATCAGTTTGAATATCGGTAGATAATGGAATAAACTTCATGTCTACCTTTGCTCGTGGCCATCGTGAGTAAATACTGTTCTTATCTTCCTTTAACCCTATGCTTTATAAGTTCACTTTATTTTTCTATCTAATGTTAAGACTATAAAGTCCTCCAAGTCGACTTTAAGTTCGGAGTTGTCCTTGGGATATCCCTGTGGGTTACTTGTTCGAATAATTTCGAGTTTTGTTCTACAACATTGGTTTTTGCCCTGGCTGTAAGGTTTGGCAAAATCAGCCTTGCGGCCTCAGTTATTACAATTTAGCTCTCCTGCTGAGCAAGAAGTAAGATGATTCTTCTCAGTTTGCCTACCCCATTCTCTTTATTTATTACTTTCTACAATATTTAATGTCAGTTCGCTTTTTAACTTAATGTGACTTTTGTACAGAAGTATTTACATGATAATTTACATACGGTAGCTGTATTTTTGTGCCTTT